AACCCAGAAATATTTTTCATTGAGAAGCGGGCTCTTATAGGTAGATCAGACTATTTCTCTATTGTTTTGCATCCCAAGATTTACGATAAATATTTTTTATAACTAAATGAACCATTCCACATCTAGAATCGTATCAAAGAGAGAAGTTGCACTCCCGCTTACTTATCCAGACTTAGAGATCTAGTTTCTTCCCCGATTTCATTGTTGTTTCCAATGGTGATCTTAAGTGTTATCTTAATTTTTGCCATGATCTATGTTGCCCAGTTGAGACTTTATATATTCGGACTGACAGATTATTTTCGCCTCTTCTGAAGCTGCTTCACCGTGATAAAGGAAAAGCCTACAAGACTGGAAGGCAGAGGACTGTCAAACATCTATCAGTAATAATCGAAAATGGAAATACAGTTGGGTCGAGGGATTTGCATTGCCCATGAGACCCAACCAGGTCAAAACAGTTGTCCAGTGCTTCCTAGCTTTTCAAATGAAGCTTCATTTGCTATAAATAAGATAAATTTCACCTTTGAAATTGAATCATATCCTCCATTGCTCACAGGATATATATATCAAAACTTGTGGGAAAGAAGAACTGCCGTGATATGTGGTTTGACTTGAGGCAGCTCTGTGGATCACGCAACAGCTCTTTCCCGGATGTTGAGGAGTTAAGCCATCAATTTGCAAATGCTACTGTACGGAACTCAACACCACATTTATTTACATCTACTAGGAAGTACCAATCTGTCACTAATGTGGAAGTTTTGTGTGCTCTGAAGTCCCTTAAATCTAACAAGGTTAAGGACTCTGATTCATTGTCCCCCGTCTTGCTGAATGAGTGTGCTGAAAAACGTGCTTCAACTATTTCCGAGTTGTCCAATTTGTGTATGACATATGGAAGCATCCGTGATTGATGCAGGGGTGCACGGATAACACCAATCCCCAAATAAGGATTTTCCAAATACCGACCGATGTCTTGTGAATCCGCATTATTGAAAGTTTTCGAAAGAGTCCTTCTTAACAGTATGACCCTTTTATCTGTTGCCCATGACCCTATTCAACTTACTCACAAACCGCTTTTCACTCTTGATGCTGTTGCTCACGTTGTTCACTCCATTTCATCCTTATCGAATAAAGAGCCTGGCCTCATCCGTTTAATTTTTCTTTATTATGCTAATGCTTTCAGATCAATCGATTGCGGCATTNCATTTCACTCATAGGACGCAATACACTTTTTGCAACAGTATCCCTTCCGCCCCGCTAGAACTTAAATCTTGGATTTTTCAGGGTTTTATTATGTCTTCCGTTTCTCTTTTCAGTGTGCATTAGGGACCTTCTCATCCCTTCCAACTTTATTGCATTCAAGTATGCTGGTGACGTAGTGGTCGGTTGTCCCTCGACTGCTTCTGACTTTCTGTCAACTTCAAGATTGTCCAAATAAAATTTTTGTTTGGTCTACGTCCCGAACTTGAATGCTTAATGTTGAAAAATGTTTCTTTTAACCTTAAAACAGGCATACCTTATCAAACCCTTTTGAATAATCAACCTGAACTTTATGTTAATGGTAATATCATCCCTAAAGTTAACTTTGTCAAATATCTTAGAGTCACTTTGTCATATAATCTTTCCTGGTCCAAACATGTTGCAAACATTTACATAAGGGTTCGTAGGCTATCCTTCTACGTTTTTAGGTTTATAAAGCTAGGCATTCCCCTAGATGTAATTCAGACATTCTTCCACATTGCTTGTACTGTTCCCCCGTATATTTTCCTGGTTTAGAGGAGAAGGACTTTATTCTCTTTTCCAAATCTCTTAAACTTCTTTCCCGTTGCAGTGGCATTTCAAAGACCGTTTTGGTTGACTTCTTTGTGAGCAAGCATTTTTATTCATGCGATAGATTTATCAACCATGTTCTGTTAAATAAAGAACACTGTCTGCATGTCCATCTCAACACATCGATGTCTCATCCGAGCACGCGTTCAAACTTTCGGATTCTTTTTACACGCACCACCACATACAAAAACAGCATCATCCCGTATTTTGCACGTATCTTTGTCAACCTAGAAAATATTATTGCGGACTTGAATAATCATCTATCATATTATGATTTTATCACATCCACTTGTTTGTTCATTCGGTATATTATTCTTTCTCCAATGCTCAACTTCTTCCTCATTGCAACTTGTCGAAAGTGCTTAAAATTCATCTTATTGGGTGCATAAAGCTTTACTTGACTTCTTTCCACTTTGTTCTGTATCCCATGCCACGTATCCTTTGCTATTGTTATTACTGTTGTGATGTTGGCATCCTGCTTGCCCACAAGCCGGTTTTGGATATGTATACATATTTCATGACAAGTAGTATGTGAATGACTGGATAAAATTTCTCTGGGAGCACACGACCGGTTTCGCGGTTCTTGCCGCGCGAATCCCGAAATCTTTTTTTCAGATCATTCACATAGTTCTACCAAAGAGGCGTATTATGAAATATTCTATAAAGACTATCAGGTTTACTTTGTTGCGGTTAGTATCACCTAACTCACCTACAAATCACTGAATAATAGCATTGATTCTTCAATGTACTGTCTGTGAAAGAGCTGTCTTTCCAAAGGTCACCCGGTGTTCCAAACAAGATTATTATGAGGATAATATATATTTCATTCATTTGACTCAACACTCTTCAGACCCCTTCGTTTTTTTGCTTTCTGTCTAGGCAAAAAAACTGAATGTTGTTGACGATGACAAATGAACAAATGTAAACCACGATGAGAGTAATCCAGACTTTAGCCTCTCGCTGTACTTACCGATGTATATGCACAACTGATGAGCCTAATCAAGTACAGAACTCGGGTATAGTGCCTCTTATATGTAAATTTGAATGGATGAACTTGGGATCATGTGAAGATAAAGTTTGATGCATGGTCAATCAAACTACCAGCAGATGCCTTTTCAAAATCTGGTGAAGAAGAAAGTTTCTTTGAATTAATCTACCGCTTGCTGCTGTTGCCTTCACCAGGTAATTGCTACTTCGGCATTCATACATTAGCTTCGCACAGTGTATCCTGGATCATTTCGCTGCATCTGTACACGTGCATGCTGCGGTCAGTGTGATCATTAATATATGGTGATTTGGCTTCCTTATTCAAATTCGTTACGGGGAAACTATGCTTCCAATTTACACATTACCTGACAAACGGGGTCTATCATGAGGCCGTCCTGCCGGAGGGAACTATTTTGTCCACAAACAATTTAAAGTACTTTTAGAATGAGTTATTGAGTTACAGTGAAGACCGCAGTGGAGTAGGGGCTGACCTTTTCTATCCCTGAAACCTTATACACTAACCCATTGACGGCATGACGTTTAGACGAAAATGGACGAACCCAACGAAAATCCTTTTCTTTTACCTTTCATTTTACTTCGTTTTATTGAATATATAAAGATACAATTTTCGGGGAGGGGGAAGCGCCCAATCAAAGGGCTACCATTCAACACCTAATGGAGTAAGTGAGGTGGTGGTGCGGTTTGAACACATCCCCGGGTGATAATTTGGTGACGTTGCAACCGGGCCACCACCACCCAATTGATCTCCATCGGTTGAGTAAGAAATACTGTTACTTCGACATGAATCGATCTATTGCCCACCATTCTCTGCCGTGAATAACATTTTAATTTATGTTATCTTTAGAAAAAAACGATGTGTTTTATGAAGATCGGTATCAGTCATTAATTGTGAAACGTATTCTTGCATGGGGGAGAGGTCTTGAGATCCTGAGATCCTGAGTCCTGAACAGCTCAATGGGTTCAATTCCAACTAGACCGAAATGAAACGCCAGAAACGTTGTGCACATCACCACCATTTGGGATTGAGTGTCATTTGTGTACATGTCTCACTGAACGTTTTAGCTCACGTTTTTTGTATTTGCCCTGTTTTGGAAGTTGCTTGGAAAGCCCCGTTTATGGCGAACCTTCTGCCCGGAGCGTCTCCCACCTGTTCGTTGAGAATATTCATGAGGGCTTTCATCTATGAGTTGGTTCAACACTTCAAACATGGTCGTTTTTGTGACATTTTGTCACCACGTTACTAGCATGAGAAACTCGGATTGTGTGCCCTGGAATCAAACTCCTGTCGTGTAGTACGAATTGGTGGCTGTGATGGGTTTTGCAACAGGTTACACGAAATTCCGTCAGTGTGGGTTTTTTAATCGATAGCGATGGTGCCGATAGAAAATTTAGTTTTCAATGTATCGACGGGCGTTCAGCGAAGTTGAATTCATAAGATTCCCTTCCTATGCAACCAATTGGTTCCGACTAGCGCTTGCACTATTGGAACGGTGAAAGGTAAACCTCAAGTACACACGCTTTCTTTTCTTCCTTTATTTTTTATAAGTTTTCAACGAAGCTAAAAGCACAATATATACGATCATTTATAAATCATTTCTCCAACACATCTTCTTTCGAATCATTTTCCTGAGAAATCGGTTAATGCGATGCTGTAATGCTTAAAAGAATTTTGAAAGTCGTTTCTACATTATCTTTACTTTGTATTCATTCACGATACTTTAGAAAAGCATCAGTCCTGATGGATTCTGTGGCTCTAAACTTTACACGACGGTATGCTCATAATCACCCATCAATAATATTTACGTATTAAGTGTTCGGCCAAATAACTCAGCGACACTGGATGTAGCGATGGAATCTAATTCAGTTCGACTAAATCATCGACATTCGCCATTTCGGTAAAACTAAATGGTTCCAACTGTTTTCGACAGAAGCCACCATTTTTGCTTGAAACATCGCAGGGATAACTGAATAAAGGTTATTTTCCCTTGAGGATGGAAAGCAAAACATAAAGCGCATGCGGAGTGTTGAGCTAAATCATCCTTTTCACATTGGGGGTGACTAAAGCTCGTAGCAGCGAGTTGCGCAACCTACCACGCTTGACTGTAAAGTTGACGAAAAGGAGAACAAAGAAGTATATTAAACTAAATGCATTTCTTTGGAAAGGTCTCTCAACCAGATTTGAACAGTAAAAACGCATAATCTTGTAAATAAAAGTAGATGAAATTTTGAGTTTCGTGGGTAACGTAGCTGTAGTTGAAAATAGAAGAACAAAAATTAATATATCAAAAGCTAAATCCAATTGTAAAAATCATAATACATACATGGAAATAATACATTATTGCCATAGATAAATGTCTATACCACGCACGTTACTCGGAATTTTGTTCATAATTTACCTTCCGAAACTTTTTCCCACCACACAGTGCCAGGTCGGATTGTATTTTTGATCAAATTCCTTTTTTATATAGGCAGCGATATCTTTTTCCACTTGATATTTGTCCATAGCACTTGCAGCTGTGTGCACGGCTACCTCTTGCATCTCGTTTGACATGTCCGCATTTTTGATCACAGCTCGACGTTCGCTCATTTTCGTCAGAAATTTTGTGCAGTGCCTGTATCTGATATGATCGTGTGTGACTGGATCGCAAATAGCATTTATACGACCGCGTTTTTCAGAAATATGTCTTTTAGGTGCATGGCTTCAGACCGGCTTCATGCACGCCTCAAGTTTTGAAGGAAAAAACGTGAAAATACGCTCCCAATTTTATTGGTGCCACTTTTGTCTAAGAGTTTTTAATGTTTTCTGTCATAAGATTTAGTAGATGATGTAATTGTAGTTCGGATATGTGCGTGTGCTTACGCGTGCGTGTGCATGCGGTGTTGTAAGAAATCGCTGAAAATTCATGTTGCTTACGGTAAAATCGACCAGATTAGTTTGGAAGGGGATTCGTGCTTTTGTGAGCCAACAGTTATTTGCCACGTTTCGTGGAGGATCATCACAACTTCACTTGGGTGAGAGATAAAACATGCATCAACAAGTTGTGTCTTGCTCAAAACTAACCAATCTCCTGACCCAATTCAATGGGATAGCGTATGACATTAAAATAGATAGAACATACATTTTTCATATTCTTACAAACTTGAGGAAGTGCAGTTTGTGATGACGTAACCATTAATAATTAACAAAAACCGCTAACCGGTTGAAGTCATTTATGTTTGACGTTTTGTTTGTCTTACATATGATTAGTGCAATGAAGAATCAAAGGAAAAAGTGAGAGAGGATTGGCGGCCATTTATGGCATTCGCGAGAGTGTGATCAAAGTTACTTCGAAACAAAGAGGATAGAAATCCTAGTATTTATTACCCAATGAGGACCTTAGAAAACATACGTTTTTCTTCATGCCCGCACAACGTTGTTATATAGTTCAACCGAACAACAATCAGTCTCAGAGTTCGATATACTAGACACTGCTCCATGTTCTGGTTTCAGGTTTGTCGAACTTGAGTCCAAGCGCTCATAGAGTGTTTAATGAAATTCAAAAAAGGAGTGACGTTCACTTTTGCGGATGCTAAGGGTACAGTGAATAGTGACCCTATAAATGATCGCGCTAGTCTAATCAGTCAGTCCTCAACAGCTTGTGATCAATGTGTTAAGACACGTTTTGGCTTATTTCATCTTCTAATAATAAGGCGCACGTTATTTGTAAACAAATATTAATAATTGTTCTTTGGCAGATTTGAAGTTTGTATGTCGATTGTGAAAAGTTTAGTGGCCTCGGTGGGATTCGAACCCACCCATGGACGCCGCATGCGCTTGGGATGGGTAAATTCTAATGTGAAAAGATCAAGGCCGTCGGGGCGGCCTCGAAACTCAGCTGGTAGAGCGTGCGCATACAAAACGTAGGCGACGTTCCTGCGTGGATTCGAATCCCACCGAAGCTAATGACCTTTTCGCAGTCGACTTACAAATAATAAGAAGTTGAACAGTGAAAAAACACACAAGATATGTTCAGAATTTGCTCAGTGCATTTCAAATGAATAGCGTGGGATGAGGGTATTTGCGGGCATAACCTCTTTGTTCACAGACCATATAATGAAAAAAAGAGATCTTAATCGTGTGAGGCGGCAGACTCTGCGACGTGTTCAGCTTTTCTTCATGGAATTCAAATGTTCGGAATCGACTGCAGCGAGATCCAGCTCATTCAAGCAACGCAATCATCATATCATACTTTAAAGGTTTTTATGCCGAAATCAGGAAATCAAAGAGTATGATCTCATGTAATGAAAGTTCCATATTTTGCTTATTTATTCTGCTTATAAATTACATACATTCAAATTCAAAGCACAATACACACAGAAGTATTTTGCCCTAAAAGTCTGGAAAACGCTATCGACTGGCATATCCGTGTTATCCTTTGTTTTTTGGATTATCTATTGTTATCCAGTTATTTCCTAAACATTTCAGGCATTTGCCAAACATTTGGAAATGGCTTTTTTCCCACTAGGCATTGCGGGTAGTATTCCGCTAGTATTTCTATTGTCATCAGGTAGACTCGAATATTGCACGTCCAAAACTCAACTTCCAAATTTTTCTAGCTATTCAGTTAGGTTTTCGACTCTTTGGTTGATTTTTTACACTTCCTCAGTTTTAGCAGTGAAATATCAAGTATAAACACACTAGAAATACCCAAAAACAGTTTTTAACTCATTGACTCATTTTCTTAATGTTGTGTGAATTTTCAAACGTTTTAACTGTAACAGTTGATTCATACCTAAATGAGCCTCGCTGAGCTTGTAACTGAAATCGGAACGTGTTGCCAAATTACTTTTCCTGTACTGTGTAACTGCTGGTGTCAATATGTAGGCGGAGTCTTTTTGGACTAGCTCATAGCATGGTTTTCTAAGAAACGAGACGATTAGGTTGCGTGAAGGATTACATAATTGATCAACACGTTCGCTTTATTTAGGGTGTATTTAATAGCAGACTTCGGATTGCATCATTTCTCAGTAGCGCGGTGTGCAGCTGTGAGTAGATGCTCTTTCTGCCGATATTACGTTCTCACAAACCGTAATATGCACTGGAAGTTGTTTAGTTTTTACTGATTAGAGTATTATTCTGTAATAATTGTCGCTTGGTGGTACCACCTTGCAGACAGACGCTTCAAAAGAATCTATAAACCCTGACTAGAAGCACACTGCGGTATGCCTTTGTGGTTGAATCACTTATGAAAAGTTGACACGATCATCATTCGAATGGTACCCACAAAAGCACAAAGTGATTCAACTATGTTTAGCTTTTGGCTGACTGCATCAAGTTTCGCACGAACCTAGAGAGTGAACCAAACCGTTGCGTTCTCAGTAAGGCTGTTTAATTTTCATTAAAAACGTCGCCCTTCCAGCACTTTGGCATCACTAATCTCCCAGGCGTTATGCAGAATATTCTAATTGCTATTACCAACAAAGCATACAACGAAGCTCTAGAAGCACTATGCAAGGTTATCGTTTTATGTTTAAATCTGCAATCTAGCCATATGATTATATTTGAAAAGAAACATATACCCCATTCCATTTAAATTTTTTACAACACAACTTCCTTCGGAAGCATCCTTCTCCAGTGATCCGTTCGGATAAACCAAGTAACTCAACATAAGCACCTTTCAGTTGTGGAGTTTTGGCCTAGAAGTAGAATGTAAAACTGGATGGCCAACGTGCTTGGTTAACCTAACGTCAGTAGCTTTCATCTGATTTGCAAATCATTCTATCACTTATCGATTTTAAGGACCACATCAACTAAACTGGAATTGTCGGCTAATTCTGTTCTATCGCTATCATGTGAGTTGCTTTGCGGCTAGATGAATGTCTGAAACAAACTCATAAAGTGCAAGCTCAAGTCATTAGGATCTGTATTCAGACTGACCACCCAAAACTATTGGTTCCCCATTTGTCCCTTCTAAAAGCAATTCAGATGTGAAATGATAACGAGAACTTTTTCATACAGACGGTCATCCATATACACACAATTATTTCATTGGACTGCATTGCTCACGTTATTGTGTGCAAAGTAAGCTCGGTGACATTCTTCAATTCATTTTAAGACTATCCTACCAGTGATTTTCGCTATGCATCGAATACAATATTAGCAAGCTTATATCCATATGAAAGGTCAACTTGCTCCACAAAGCATGTTTGCGGAATAGCCAGTTAAGGAGTGCTGTATGATAATGTTGACAGCAGCTGCATTTCAGGGCGTGTAGTACCGAATGATAAATAGTGGTGTGATGAATAGAGTAAGGTCCTTAATAGATTCAGTATTTGTGCCAANTGGTGACATCAATGCAATGAATTGTATCGTGTATATGCCAGGTAAACAAGTGAATATTTGAGTTTGGTGTACTCATTATCCTCAATGAAGGCTATAGATATAACGTAAATCAATTAACTTCAGCACAGCTTTTATAATCAGAACCATGATATATCTGTTTTTGTTCAGAAATATAGAGTCTGACCACTTAGTACTTGCCCGAGCACAAAAAAGTGGATT